CACTTTTGGTTGCCATCCTGTCACCAGCTTCGCCCATCGGCCATCATCGGGCCCTCAGGGACTATGCCTGGAAGTAGACTGACTGCAACATTAGGCACCGGGGTCGCGCGATGTTAACTCCCTCGGCTGGTATGCAGGAGGTCAGGGGGTTTATCCTGACCCTAACGCCTATATATTTGGAGTTTGCATGTTCTCCCCGTGGTCGTATGGATTTTTTCCTCCACATTCAGAAACATGCGTTTAGAGTATTTGGTTGTCCTGGCATATGCTGGATAATAGGCATTTACATTATTGTCCTAAAGGCTCGTAACTTTTTTGGCCACTCCACCACCCCTCCAAATATTGGGATTGTGGTCTTGGGTATAGGAAACCGAATGGATTTATTTTTTTATTTTCTCTGTGATACATTTTTCTTAAATGCATCTTTTCTCGTTATTTATATATTATAATTTTTTCTAAGTAGTGGGGTTTTATTTCATTTTTTGTACGGAACTGGATAACTAATGTGCAGCAATTGCATTAATGACACAAAACTATTTTATTATTATTATGCATTTGTACATGATAAGCCACTTTGTAAGCTATCATTTGTGGCCAGGTCGCTTCTGAAAAAGAGCTATATAGCTCAGTGGGCCTTACCTGGTATACAATGTAGTATCTTCCTCTCAGTGTACTTCAAAGCTCACGTTATTTAATGCTTTATTTGACCTCTTCAGCTTGTGCTAAATACACTCATTCAACACTGTCTTCTGCAGGCACATCGGCATTTAGCTTTTCATTCTCAATTCAGTTTTCCACATGTGTGTGAATTTATTGCATTATTGGTGTTCGGTTTGTATGATACAGCACGCAAATTAATGTATGCATATAATAATGATAATTCATAGCCCCTGTTTCAATACACTTCTGGATGAAGGCCTTGCCACACCATGTCTGTTATGAGCGTTCTTTGACCATACTTCACCATGCTGATCAGCGCAGGTTGGTGAAGGTGGCACCTAGGAAAATCACTTGCCACTGATGTTGGCAGTGGCTGGGAATCAGATTCATGTCACTAGCCTCGTATCACAGTGCAATAACCACTGCACCACTGCTCCCCACTTTATATACGTTCGGATTTTTTATGACAATGTTATGCAGATTTGTGAATTTTAAGATACTTTAAATCATGTATTAATTTAACTCATCTTTGTGCTAACCAGAGTGATGTCACCCGATTGATGCCAAACGACAGCACATTGGCGCGAAATGTGTACACACACGTGATCGTTGAAGTGACATCATTCTCTGTGACATTTTATTTTCTGATCTATCCAAAAAATAAACCCGTAAAAACAAGGTTTTTCACTATAAATCCTTTATATGCGTGGCGGCTAGAGTCATCTCGTCCTCTGGCTTGAGATGGCTGCCACCTATGGGTCAGATGATTGCCCGCCACCATTTAGCAATTGGTAATTAAATATTTAAAAAAATTCCTAAAAAGTGTAAAGTCACGAAAATAAATTGTCACGCACAACGAGTCTGTGTGCAAAATGTCAGCTCGATTGGATCACGGGAAGTGGGTTAAAAAACGACCGAAAGATTTGCACGGTCGTAAGCGCGCAAGCAAGCAAGCAAGTGAACTTAATATATAGGATTTTAAAACTGACTTTTTTTTTGTTGGAACGCCTCAAGCACCTTCGATTTTCCCTGAACCTCCTATTCGCGTGGTTGACTACGTACAGTGCGAAAGAAGTTCAACGTAGTACGTACATACATAACATTTCATGCCTCGGTTAAATTTTTACATTTTTGTGGATTTTTCGGATGAGAAAAGCTCTTAAAAGCTGCCCTTTTGGGACAGCTATGACGAGCGCTGCCCCCTTCTCCTTCGCGGCGCGGGAGGCATCCTCGGCCACCAATAAATTTTGAGGATTAACCAGAACACCAAGGAACATTCCTAATAAACACACTCTGCACACACTGCGTGGCACTCAAAACGCATAGAGGATGGGCAGTGAAAACTCAGTCTTTAACGTTCAATATCCCGAAACTAAACATAGATCACGTTTGGACATTTTTCAAAAGCAAAGCCATCCCTGAGTGGGCCCCATTAACAAAATGTGAACGTGTAGGTGCATCCTTTTCGTGAGTCGTGTCCGTGAAAGCTGCAATGTTCTATTGTAATAGGGTGGCTACCACTAAACTGCCATTCCCGTAATTCCCAGGCAACCCTTGGTTGCATGAGTTTCGAGTCATTATTTTCTACTCAACCTGTTAATTAGAAACAAATACAGTTATTATCTTTCGATTACCGTGGGCGAATTGGCAGACCTATATTGTAGTTTTGCGATGCTCGCAGCTACACGACTTGTCATGTAATCAGCAATTCAATTACATGCGGGGAATCAGTCATATGCATTATACACATTACAGCCAGTCGCAATTAATAATATTGCACGGCTACATTAATTTTTCAATGTGACGCCGAAATGCACTTATCTAATATGGCGAGAATTTTTTACGCAATATTTTTGTTTGTTTTAAATCTTGGTATCTGCAAGTAGTCCTTGGTCATAATCATCATCAGGCATGGTCAATCTACTGCTGGATGAAGGCCACCCCAAGCTTCCACCACCTCTTCACAATCACGTGATTTAATAATGTGCCTAGTACGTGTACATGAACTGATTTCATTGCTTGATATCCGCATTTTATACCTTCTCAGGCGCATTTCATTCCACGCATGCGGGTTACAAGATATCAATGAGATTACTGCTGTTCCATAATTGTATATTTTCGTTGCTTGTATTTCAAATACAGTTCAACTTCTTAATTTCATCAACGGCTTGCCATCGTGCCTCCCGCAATACAGTTGCCAGAAGCCAGGGTAGGTGGATCTTTTTTTATTGGGTGGGATCACTAGATGAATATCAATGTGACGTTCTCACAGATAGACCTGTGTTTTTTCTGAATTAGCAGGTGGTTTGGCCAGTCAAGTAGAGTTAGATGCAATTCATCCCTAATTTCACGTAAAATATTAGCATTTAGTATGCCTGCCGAAGTGGAATAATAATTTGTTTTGACCAATTTTGACAAAATATGTGCACGTTTTGAGCTGTTATTTTGTATTCATCTGTTTAACTGGATAATCCCTTGAGATGGAACATCTCATTTGCAAGGTAATTCTTACCTATTTTTAAAAATGACATCAATAATCTGATGCATTGGATTAGTACCTCTGAATTAATCCTCTCTCTCTCTCTCTCTGAAAAAATTCAGAGTAATTTTTTTTTGGTAAAATGCTGCACAGTTAATTTTGATCCCAAATATTGCACGATATACTTTTACACTTAGTTCCTATATACTTGATCTATTTAAGTATTTATTTTAAGCGATTCGCTTACCTTTCTTATACATTGCACTCCAATCGTGTTTTGTTGTTGTTGTTGTGCTGGGCTACTGGGCATCTGTGAAAAAGAGCCTCATAGTTCATCGGATTTCTTGAGGATAAACACAGATTCTGATTCTGTGTCGGACTGTCAAACACACACGTGTAGAAACACCCGTGCGCAGTTGTACATCAACACCGAATGACTACTACTGATGTAGTACAAAAATGTGGTACTAACTGCGACTGCGTTCGCCCCCGGTTTAATTAATGAGTCCCACGCACCATTTATCCACGGCGTGAACTACGTCGCCATTCGCGGTATAATTACGCAGCAGTTTCATGAGCCGATTGCAATGCATTTCACTCTCAAGACAGTTGCTGATCACAGATTCTGGGTGACCTACAAAGATGGTAATTAAACAACCGCTCTGGCCGTTTGCCCCAGCAATGTGTGTCACGTTATCCCATTAAATTTTCTCTCCGCTTCAAGGCACAGTGTTTTCGAGTCCCCTGTGCACTTTGTGTGTGCACAGTGATTTAACGTACTGGCAACTCACAGCACGTTTGTCCACTGCAGCCGGAATACAACTGTGTTCTCTAAGGGGACGGGAGGCAGCCTCGAGAGCTGAAACCTACGAATGTAAAATGGTTAAGGTGCAGCGAGCGCTTGCAAACTCCACTTTGCTGGCAAAAGGGCCTCCGCTAGACAGAGCTCTAGTGCTCTTCACTCATTTTCAGTGGGCGGCCACTTTCGCCGATAACAAAACATCAGCGCGAGGGCCGCCACACCGCCTGCAAGGGGTGTTTTCACATTTGTGGATTGCCGGGGGCCGCACTAAAAACCGTCCAGGGGCCTCCAGTGGCCCGCGGCAGAGGTCGCAAACGGGTTTTGTTTCCTTACCCGTACCCGGCCGCACCAGGGTCGCAAATGGGTACCCGTACCCGTACCCAGCCGGGTACGGGTAGCCGGGTATCGGGTAGGGTACGGGTATCGGGTACCCGATTGCGACCTCTGGCCCGCGGGCCTTGCAATGGAGAACACTGCCCTTGGAAGTTCTTCTAAGTGCGGTATTTTTGGCCAGACATTAGGAAGAGATGGGAGTACCCACACTGTTACCCCTCTGCAAATGACCTGCCAATCGAACAACTGTCGTGAATCCATTCATACCGCTCGGTGCACAGAGGCGGAGGGGATTACACGAACATCCGCCGTTGTTTCAACTGCCGTGCCGGGAGATGGAATCGAGCCGGCGACCTCTGGATTGCACGTCCAGTCTGTCAACCATTACCCTACGACGGCATCCAAAGACCTTCTATAATAGTCGAGCCGGCATGGACGAGTAGGCGTTCCCTGGATTCCCCTCTAGCAGTGTAGCAGTGTGGTATGAGCTGGCAATTCGAGGGCTGCACCTTTATCCCTCCGTGCAATAAACAAGGAGAAATGGGTGAATGTGAGCTTTGTAAGGATGTGATCTATTGCTGCAGATTAAAAGGGGAGTTTTCAAAAAACCACCGTAGCATCTTTATATTTAAGGGCAACCTCTGACCGCTACGTGCAAGAACACCATTCTCTCTGCATTGCATTTGCAGTGCTATCTTGCATTGTCTCTGTTTCTTTGCTTGGCAGATCCCCTGGTGGCACCACAGAAAATCGTTCCAAGGAGCCATCTGCTTCCCGCACCTTATGCTGGTAACCACTCTAACTTCGTGCATTCAACACGGTGCAGTAAACGCCACCAATAATCCAGGGATCAATTCGTGTGGGAGCCACTACACTAGGTGACACTAATAGCCACTTTTTCCACTGGCCACATCCGAGCCGAGCCAGCGAGTGGATTTACACTGGCCATTGGCCATGCCGAGCTGGAACCAAACCATGATACGCTGGCCTCACTGGATACCAAACTGAAACCTTTAACAAGGAATCATGTCTGCATTAACCACAATACTTGTGGTCAGAATGCAAAAAAAAAGTACTCTGATAATATATGCATTGTCTTTGAAACTGATTGGTCCACACCAGAGACAGCTTTCTTTTGAGCCTAGTCTCAGAACAATTGAGATGCACGGCAGAGTAAGGTGTGCACGCCAGCCAAATGTAATGTTTTCATGATATTTGTCTGCGATGATTTCAAGTACATCCGAGTATGTTATTTACCACTTTCACCGTGGTAAGCATAATGTTTTCCCGATTAAATTTACGACTGCGGTAAGCGCACACGTATTAAATAATGTAACGTTGAATAAGAAAAAATCTGATTGTGGCATTGTAATATTTCGCTTTCGGAAATCAAATCGTATATCCCATACAATAACCCGACGTCATGTTATAATGCGTATGTAAAGTCTGTTGCTACGTATGCAAGCAATACAATATGTGATGCATTCTTGATTTGAAGCTTTCGTGACTGCAGGAATCCATACTCTTTGGTTCTTTCGGTAAAGTCACATTGAGTTGTGTGCCTTTTGGCGTCATCTGGTCCAACACCATGTGAGACTAGTCTCTAAGAAAAGCTGTCTCGGGTGTGGATCAATCAATTTCAAGGACAGTGCATACATTATCAGAGTTGTGTTTTTTGTTTGCATTCCGACTGCAGATATTGTGGTCAATGCAAACATGACTCCTTGTAAAAAAGGTGTCAGTTTTGTTGCCAGATAAAAGGGTAAAAAAAAAACAATTATCAAAGTCACGTAGGTTGTGTTGCGCCCGAAACGTCGCGATTTATTTAATTTTATACCTACGTGACTTTACCGAAAGAACCAACGAGTATGTGATGCATTGTTTTTTCCTACCTATGCCGTCATTTATATATGTTATGCAACGGATGAACTCAAAAAAGAACTCGGATAATACAATGATTTTTCGAGAACTTACAGAGAAAATAATTGGATTGTAAATAGAAAAAAAGAAAGTGACTCTTCAGCGTCACGACTTTTCGATGCCATTATCAAACTGAAAGCAATTAAATCAAATCCAACGAGCGGATTGTTAATGTGCACTATAATTAATAAAGCACGCGCTTCGACTTTGAAAACTCACGACTTCAAATAAAAATGGGTGTCGTAAAAATTACATAATCACTCACGTCGACGTCTACGAGCACCTCGTGACCTCTTTTAGCCCCGCCCCCCCCCCTCCCGATACGTTCCATTCATTGGCTACCGCATTCTGATAAGCCCCTCCCTCCCCTCTCCTCCCGCTCAACTTGTATTTAAGAGCTTGCATCTTGAATCCCTGCCTCACTTGATGCAGCAAATCTGGCTGTGACGGTCCCACCTGATGACGGAGACTTGTGTTGCCTCCGAAACGTCGTGATTTTTATTTTATTTTTAATTCTATTTTTATTAATTTCATTTTTTACCCTACGTGACTTTATCGAAAGAACTAAGAGTATGAATCCTTGCAGTCACGAAAGCTTCAAATCTAGAAGTGAAAATGGGTTCTGGGGGAGAGAAAAAAATTCTTGCTATGTCCTCGCTTTTCTGATGGGGAAAGAGTGTCAGCCAGGTGGGAGAATCGTATTATTCAAACAAATGAACACTGACTGATGTATGCTTACTGTGCTTGCAATTTATGCGACTTGACAGGCTTGGAGGCTCTAAAATTATTTTGCATGACAATTGTTGAAACCCCTGAGAGACGTCATGCAAAGATGCGGCTCTGGAATAATTGGCGAGAATCGCGCGTGCAGAAGCAGCCTCTGGGTGCTCACACAGCCACGTCTCGTTACAGAATCTTGCATCGTCCACTGCACGTTACACGTGTCAGTGCATACACATTGGCTTGCGGCAGTTTCATTCAAGGGCGGGGGGGGGGCAAACCTCATTGGCGCCACACTGCAATGGAACTTCCTTGCCTGGCAAGCATTTAAGGAAAAGATCCACTTTATATTCAGGCTAGCCGCGAATAAGAGTTCAAACCAATGCACATGCACATACAACAGACGTTGTGTTATTTTAAAATGTCAGTGTGGTTATATACTTTTTTGAAGTGTTCGCAGTAGTGTGGGTGTATCGTGTGTGTCTGTGTGTCAAAGAAAATCTAATTTTATGACGATTATGCTGTCGGCTTGATGATACAAAATAATTATTCATTTCAAACTCTTGCAGAGCGGTTAGAGAAAACTTGATGAAATGGCAGATTCCTAAATCCTTTTTCAAGTGACCATTTATACACGAGAGGGCACGCTTTCCCATACGTCCTGTGACAAAAATCGTCGTAAGAAAGTCAAGTATATATTATTATTCTTACAGCTGAAAATGTACCATATTAAGTTAAAAATAAAAATGATATGTGATGTTGTTGTTGTCCAGTCACGGGTGACCAGGCTGAGACCACATTCAAAATCAAGATGAACATATCATCAATGACGAAAGCCATTGATATAACCATCCCTTGCCAGTGCTCTCGACGCTCCACCAGATCCTGCATCTGTTGCACAATACAAACACAACATCCAAAACATGCCCTTGCAGTAATTCCACCATCTGGTCTTTTGGTCTTTCCGCTCGGTCGCTGTACTCGTGGCGATGCCTGTCCCAGGAATTGGCCCTCCCTGATCCCGAACGCACGGTCGTTTGTGCCTCATCCATATCCAGAACGCCGGATTCAAACCCAAGAACCTCAGCAGTTGCCGGCTCAGTGCTCTGGCTTCCGAGGATCCGCCTCCTAGTGTGCACATCTTGACTCCGTGAATAGAAGCAAGAATTTGGTTCTGGGGGGGGGGGGGGTGGCGGTTATGACGCAACGCCTTTCGAAGCCTCGTGCTTGATTTATTTTTGGCTGCGATGAGCTGTGAGAAGAAGGAGCTCGGGGGAGAGGCGATTAATGGGAAATGTTTTGCCCGGCGGCACAAGAGGACCTAGATTTGTGGCACAAATAGTAAACTTCACTTTAATTGTGCAATTTAGAAGACATTTAGAATTTACTCCAGACAAGAATATTTAGTTTCGGACGCGAAGCCTTAGTAGGCCTCGAAAACTGACAAATGTTTGGCTTCTCAAGGGTGTTTAGTATTTAAAATTGTTGCATTTCAAATTGTTTTCATGTGTACGCATGACGCGTGTGTTGATGCAATCGCTGTACGTGTAAGCAAACCTCTGTGCACCGTTCCTGCGTGCATCTATGCCGTTTCCTTCAGTCGCACCTGTAACGCAGAAACACTCGATGTAATTAACATTTTTTTTTTTTGCCCAAGTAATTTGCCGGAAGACAGTAATGGTGTCATTTCTTAAAACAATCACGGCCGAGGCTGAATTATTCCTCCAATTTCAAAAGTGCATTTAGCATTAATCCAAATAGTTATTGCGAGCACGCACGCACGCACGTACGTGCGCACACACACGGTTGCCAGCGTTGGGAGGAATTTTCTGTGTTGGTCTAATAGCCCTCACAAATAACAGACTCTGTCCCATAAGTATGGTGTGTACCACGGCATAAGACAAACTGCCATTATTATTGGTAAGCTGCAAGCCTCCAGAGTGTGATTTCCCTGTATTAGATGGATTTCAGGTATTCTGGCTTGTCACAGGTGGCCCTAGAGAGCCAATTAATGCGAAAAATGGGAATATTTTGGCCACTCGTTAGTAGTAAATCATAGGCCGTTGACTCTGCATTGGCTTAACAAATTGTAAATATAAAATGTGGACCAAGCAAGGGTTTATGCTTTTTTAGCCCCCAACATGCTTGTGACATTACAGATTACAGTTTAATCCTGTCAAATAATAACGATTGTAAATAGTGTGCTTTATTCATAAGAAACAAGTGCCAAACGGTAACACGTGCAAACGTGCACTACATTTTACCAAAAACAAAGACAAGTGCTGTTATAGTGAGCCACTCACAAAGGCCGGAATTGTACACAAGGAGGTGGTGTGGAGATCATGCCCGGCTGCCTTTGTCTCCCCAGTGTTGATGTTCACACACACTCCGCACCTCCGACAAGCACGGTTGGCTACGTATGGTGCGAAAGAAGTTCAACATACATACACACATACGTACCGCACCGGGTTAGTTTTTAGGCAAAATTGAAATAAATTGATTTGTTTAAAAGCCTAAACATTTTTAAACAAAACTATAATAATAATAATGTTAACATTCCCGACTTGATTTGAGTCCAAGTTATTTCTTAACAAATGAGAGCATTACCCTCAAATGGTCTCATACCCGGTTTAAATATAGGACGCAGAATCGATAATCTCATTCGACATAATGACTTCATAGGTTTGGAGCTATTATCATAATTATCATTGTTACGTAAATCAATCAATACCAGTTTCACCGTGAGGTTTTTGCAGCCCCACATATATATATTTTTTTATATACGAACCAATGCCAGTAATTCACCCCGAAATTGATATTATGCTCAAAAGAGCTCATTTGACAGACAGGTGGAGTAACAGCTGGTGATGAATGACCACATTACGTACCTCCCCATTGCTTTTTGGCATTTGAAAAAAAAGAAAAACAACGTTCCTCTTTCTGCACCACCCACTTGGCCTCCCCATCCACATTGGCAGGAATACGGAGCCAGTCGATTGTTGGCGGCGGTTTGTTTTTCCGCGCGCCGCGCCGATGTTTCTTCCGCGTACCCCACGCTCCACACGGCCGCTCGCTCATAGACACCTCCGTTGGGCAGGATGTGCGGCGCTGCGACAGCACGGATCGCCCTGCGGTGAGCGCCGCTCTTGGGAGGGCGGGGAGGAGGCGATCGCGCCCGACAGATGGAGGCCATGCGCTGCTCTCGGAAGCGGGTGCGGACGCAGTTCGGAGTGGGCCTCGTCACATGTGTCCTGTCCACGCTGCTGCTCCTCTTCCTGATCGACGAGGAGCTCTCGGGGTTTGGCGAGGTGGGTGTGACATTCCCGGTGGGTGGGGAGTTTTTTTGAATCCTTTATATTAAGTTCACTCGCTTGCTTGCTTGCGCGCTTACGAACGTGAACATTTTACGGTCGTTTTTTAACCCACTTTCCGTGATCCAATCGAGCTGACATTTTGCACACAGACTCGTTGTGCGTGACAATTTATTTTCGTGAAAATTTTTTCCCAAAATTTTCAACATTTTAGGGGAAAAAAATTATATTTAATTACCAATCGCTTAATGGTGGCAGGCAATCATCTGACCCATAGGTAGCAGCCATCTCAAGCCAGAGGACGAGAGGACTCTAGCCGCCACGCATATAAAGGATTTATAGTGAAAAACTTTGTTTTTACGGGTTACATTTTTTTTTCTCTCTCTCTCTCTTCCGTTTGAATGTCATCGTTCCCATTGTCATCATCAGCCATGATCTCGGTCCGCTGCTGGATTAAGGCCTCTCCAAGCCGTCGCCACTTTTCTGCGGCTCTACGGTATATCAATCGGCCGAGCACCGTTACACGAGCCGACGTAATGTTTTGGTGGATGTCCACTCAGAAGTATTTCATTCCTTCGCTGTCATTCTGTCACTGCTCATTACCATCGGCAGTAATCTCTTGCAGCGATGTGTCCTGCCCCAAGCCTGCTTAGTTTTTAGTTTAACCGTCAATGGTATGTTTCTGGTTTGTATTTGTTCCCTGATCAATGTGTGCCTACTTTTTCTGTCTCTCAATGCAATTCCAAGAATTTTTATTTCCACGCTTCTTTGCACTATTAAAAAAATTATCCAAATTGTTCGCTACTGACCGTGCCTTTAAACCATGTTATTGCGGTTAAGTACCAACTGATTAAAAACACATCAATGTCACCGGTTTATTATTTATAAGCGTTATCAGTAATTGGCGTAGTCATCTGAATTGCATTCAGCAATACAAATATCTTCTTGGTTCTTTCGGTAAAGTCACGTAGAAGGGAAATAATACAATAATAATAATAAAACGTAATAAAATACAATTCTCATGACGTTTCGGCCACAACGCAAACAGCCGTCCTCAGTTGAAGAATAGGTCTGTCGGAAAGACAGCGTCTGAATGAACACCACCAAGCCTTCAGACGTTGTCTTTCCGACAGACCTGTTCTTCATCTGAGGACGGCTGCTTGCGTTGTGGCCAAAACGTCGTGAGAATTGTATTTTATTGTGTTTTATTTTTATTATTTTATTATTTCCCTTCTACGTGACTTTACCGAAAGAACCAAGAAGATGAATCCCTGCAGTCACGAAAGCTTAAAATCTAAATTTAATACAAATATCGTTGAGATGTAACCGAATGAAGTACTCAATACCTTTGCATTTGTTGCTAATGCAGTGCATGACATTCCACAATACGGATGAAACGTGTGGTCAATCGTACGCAGAAGATGCGACACATTTCAAAGAAGCTCAGTCAACCTGATGATCGTCCTGTCTCATTTGGCTAGGGGCATCACTCGGCCAGTGGCATATGGGAAGGTATGAATGGCCAAAGATGTTTTGATACATTCTCGTATATATATTTTATTGATGAAGGAAAACTATTCCAAAGTTCTGGAGTTGCAACAAAGCATTCTCTCTCCATTTTCTTGAATTGGTAGGAACTTCCAAAACAGCAAATGTACGTGCAAAAAGCGCAGACGTTTTTACCGAGACTTTGTCTCTCAATTGATCTGTTATTCACTTATATGTTTACAACATTCGACTAAACCTTCCAGTGTCATATACCAATTGTCAGCAAAGAATGGCATTCGTGTCAGTTACATTTACGATGCAAAACATGCTCAAGGTCACAAACGTTGTATGATCATGAAACGAATAATAATACAGTAATACAATCATAATTTACAGTGCCTTATCAATCCACTGTTGGATGAAGGCCTCCCCATGCCGTTGGGTCAATAGGATAATTTTTGTCTGTTTTGGTGAAGGGAGGGAGTTAGCCCAGGTCTGGTTCAGCTTTCACTCACCACTGACATTAAGCCGTGGCAGGGAATCGAATTCAGGTGGGTATGACCATTTACAAATTGCACTAACCACCGCCACCACCACTCCACCAGCAAGTGTTGAATATCTGAATAATATTTAGATAGTGCGTGCGCTCATATCACAAGTCTAGTAATGATACACTGAGAAAGGAATAAAATTCACAATTTCATTTTCAATATAGACTCAAAACATTTATTTTCTGGCTTTACAAAAGCCCGTTACAGCAGTTGCTGCAGCCCCCTCCCTCCCTCTCCCCTCCCCCCTTCGGATTAGCCGACGTATGCCTAGCTCTGCGATCCTAAATTCACTTGCAAATTCTATCTCTAGCCCCGCCCACTTACCTTGGGTTGTACCCACCTCAAACCAAAAGAACCTTTGGCCGCAGTAGCTCTCTCGCTAAATTTCTTCCAGCCTCAGCAGTCCGCCTGCTGTGTTGTTTCACCTGAAGAAGATCGCTTGTGTTGCGATCGACACGTCGTGATCTATTAGTTATTTTTCTATCTACGTGACTTTACCGAAAGAAACAAAGAGTATGAATTCCTGCAGTCACGAAAGCTTCAAATTAAGATAATTATATTTAACTTTTTCTATATCACTAATCTATGTCTTGACATGTTTTTAGTTAAAGGTGCAGCCCTGAAATGTCGTGATCATCCCACTGCTGGTGGAAGGGCCTCCTCTATAGATCCCCTCGAGAGCGTAATTGGCCTTACTCTTCCACTCTGGCCAAACCGTCTTAGAAGAAATGGGAGTACGCACACTTTACCCCACCAATCGACTAACTGCTGTGTATGCATCGGGTGTACAGAAATTCAAGAAACTTGCACATTACTTTAAACTAACCACGGCGGGTAATCGAGCCGGCGACCTCTGGATTGCAAGCCCGGTGCGCTAACCATTACACCACGGCAGCTTCCCATTTATAAGTGCCCGCTTTTAAAAGAAGTTCACTTGCCAACGCTGATAGGGTAGTGCTGGGGAATAAAACAACAGTCCAGCCACCCTGATTGACACTTAATTGAGGCAATAGGTGAGTAAGTAGTGCATTTCTCACATTGCGATTGATTTGGAATGACTCCAGCCCCCCGCCACTGTCACGTAATCAGTCTGTTCACCATCCCGCGAACGCATGTCGTGCTCACCTATCGTAACATGTAAGCGTCACTCAGGCCAGCAGCCGCTGGTGTTGTGCACGCCTGTGATAAAGCGGCATACATTTCGGACGCGGTCTGCTCGCCATGAATTACGTGCGAGTGGCTCGATGCAGCAAAACACGTGCAAGGATGAATTGCGATATCGCAAAAGAAGTTCATTACATACTCTTTGGGTCTCTCGGTAAAGTCGCGTAGATCAGCAGCAGGTCACGCTTTCCCACCTGATGATGGACGCTTGTGTTGCGCCCGAAACGTCGTGATTTAATTGAGTTGTTTTCATTTATTTTATTGTATTTTTTACCTACGTGACTTTACCGAAAAAAGCAAAGAGTATAAAAATCACGACGTTTAGATCGCGACACAAGCAATCGTCTTCAGCTGGAAAAAATTATCCTGCCTCAGCAGTTCGCCTGTTGTCTTTTTTCACCTGAGGACGATTGCTCGCGTTGCGATCGAAACGTCGTGATTAAAAAAAAAATTATATCTACGTGACTCTACCGAAAGACCCAAAGAGTATGAATTCCTGCAGTCACGAAAGCTTCAAGTCAAAGTTCATTGCGGTCGTGTTTATTAACGGGGCAACGCCGCACGTTCTGATGCTCCCAAAATTGTTTAACAAAGTGAGTCGAGGTGGCAGCAGAGCACCGGTGGCTTCATCAACGTATAATTTGCAGTCAATGGCCTTGCTCTGATCTGGAAGCACTTGTGCGTTTCACCTCCACAGACGGAGTTCAGCGGCACAAGCTCCTAACGGACGCTCCCGCGATGTTGCATTACGAGCGCGAGATCAAACTGTGCGGCACCTTAATTACTTGTGGACATTGAAGCTCCCACAACTCTCCGCACGAGAGCAGCCTGTTGCGCCCGGTGTCACGGCCAAAATTAACCGCCGTCAATAAATAGGCGACATCACTGGCGCAATGAGAAGCCTCATTGCAAACGAGCGGCACGTACGCCGCCACTGCCACCAAGAAATAATAAAAGCTATTATATTTCTATTTATGATCATGATAATAATACTCAAACACCGGCTGTCGACAAATAATGTCAGGACAATTCGCTGGCGCGTGCTCGCAGGAAGGGCATTGGTTCAATCTGTGATGACCGTATGAGATCTTTTTTATTTTATTTTATTATTATTTTCACCTACGTGACTTTACCGAAAGAACCAAAGAGTATGGATCATTGCAGTCACGAAAACTTCAAATCTAGAACGTATGAGATCTGTTTAAACTTGTGGGCAGGATTGTAAAGGTGCAACCCTGCAATTGTTTGTTCCTGCCACTGCTGAAGAAGAACCTCCACTCGTGGAAAACTCTGGAAGACCCCCTTGTAGAGGACATTTAGCCCACTCGTCAACATTGGCTTAGCCATGTTTGTTTGTTGTAGTACAGAGTTAGACTGATGGCCTTAATCTAAGTTATCTTATGGTTGTTGTTGTTGTTGTTTGACTTGCATCCCACTGGGATTTTTGCACACAGCGTTGGTGTACGGTGTTTTTTTCTGCAATATTTTTCTGTCTTTTCTTGGATTTTCTGTTTGCACTTAGTCTCATATTCACTTTAAGATTTTTTTGTTCATGTTTTTGTTTTTTGTTTGTTGCGGTTGCACCCGATTCAAGAACCGAATGGCTCACAGGGCTATACCTAATAAATGAACTTGAACTTGATTGGCCAGACATTTTGGTCGAGGTTGAAATACCCACACTCTACCCCACTGCACGCGACCTGCCGGTCAACTAACTGCTGGTGTACAGATTTATACTGCCGGGTAGACAGAGACCAGGGAGATTTAAGAATCAGAGCCCATAATTTTTTAACTGCCACACTGGGCGATTGAACCGGAGACCTGTGGTTTGTCCATTGTGCTAACCGTTATACCACGGTGGCATCTGGGCTGCTTATTGGCTATGTGAAACTCCCATTTGGAACGAATGGTTGGTGACGTACTTTGGCGATTATAAGTATGACTCATTACGGCTCGTCAGTCTATCCCATCGGTGGACAATTTATGTGAGCACCTACCTCAGGCCGTGTCAAGTAAAAAAGAATCAAAGTAGTTTCTGTTCAAAGTTTAATCTCAAATAGGTAGGAAGTCATCTACAATTTACAGCCCTGAGCGAGTGATAAAAAAAGAATCCAAATTTCTTTTGTGAGAATGAGTAAATCCACAGGACAATCACTGCAGACTTTCCACAAAGTGGGTACTCATTTTATTGACCCTGAAGGGCTGAGCTCCTGACCAATTGCAAGTCGCCTGCTCTAGATACTGTAATGCCATCATGTTACGAGGTAAAGGTACAGCCCCTGCAATTGCTTGGTCATGCCACTGCAGGCCGAAGGGCACCACCACCACCCCCTCCCCCTCCACTAGAGAGCATTTGGCCTACTTTTTCACACTGGTCAGACATCTTCGAAGAGGTAGGAGTACCCACACTTTACCCCACCACCAAACAACTTGCTGCTAAGCGACTTTGGTGTGGTGTCAAACACTTTTAGTAGCCCTCGGTGAACAGGCGACCGCTGGGCTGGCAAGTCCAGCATGTGATCCGTTACACACCACGGCAGCATGGGTATAATGGGATTTTGTAAAATCATTCAAGAAAACTGGTGGCTGATAAAGGCGGGCAAAGTAATCCGTTTAATGTGTCTTAAACCCTAATGAACATGTCATCAGGAAGACTTTGACAGTTTTCATGACCTATTTGGAATTCAAAGAAAAAAAAAGATATATCTAATTTGCATGATTGGTTTCATTGAAATGGAATAGAAATTGTTTGTAATGAATATCCTGCAAGGTCATTGTAACCCGATTATGATTTACGGGATTGTAAAAACTAATTATATAATGAAATATATTAAGGCACATGCCACGGGTGTGTTAACATGTGCTTTGAGCCTTTGAGCAATAGATAGTCAGCGTATATTTATAGTCAAATACAATGTAGCACGCTACCCCCACAAAGACAAAGATGCCCATATAGCCTTACCAGACTGTTTTAGGCAAGTGCTGTTCACGAGCACCTATTAAGGTCGGCTCTCCGAACGAGACGGCGGTGTGCCCAGAAACAATGCCTAACCACCTTTGTCATATTAGTGCTGATGTTTGCACATGACAGCAAGTGATCGCAGGACTGGTTCAAATATCACTCGCCACTGATGTTAGCCGGGGCCAGGAATCAAACTCAGGTGGTCAGGTTCATAGTACAGTGTACTAACTAATGTTTCACTGCTCCACCCCGTGACTGGATATTGCAGATGATAATTTAACTGTTTACTCTGAACTCAGTGTTCAACATTCTACATGCCAAATATTGCAATCCTCAATTCTTTATAGGAATCCTTAATTATTATTATACAGCGAAAGGGACCCGACTTAGGGAAATCCAACTTTACGGAAATTCTCCCATAAAGCATGTAAAAAAAATCGATATGCGGATATTGTTTGCGTTAATCGACGTAAGCACAAATGGTGCAACGTGCTGAGGTTGTGGGCGAATACCACCCAGAGCCCTACGCCTCGCTCCCCCAAAACGCCACCTTCACCGAGCCCGCGCTTCACCAGGATTAAGATAAATATATTTTTTTGTAGCGTTATGTAATTCTTCTCTTTTTGCATGATACAGTACTGAGATAAAACAAACTCGTAATCGGGTAGGGGAGGCACAACTCTATCTGACTATGGGATTTTATCTCGATTTGGGGGTGGGGGGGATTGTTCAGTTTCTGACATACGGAAAACTCGGGTTACAAATCGTTCTGGGGAACCTAACCCTTCCGTAACCCGGGGACTGCATGTATCGATTCACAATACAATGCTGGCCTTTGAAATAACTTGAATTTGTGTTGCTGATATCTCGTTTTTATTTAAGGATCTCAATCTCAAAAACTCTCTGTCCACAACAATATCTTCTGTCTGGGCTGTTGAAGTCATGCACTTAGGTTAACTTGGCAATGTGGCAGCAGAGTCGTTAGTGCAACTTTACCACGAACCGGCTCTAACTGAGTTTGATTCCCAGCCCCAGCTGACACAAGCGGCAAACCAGTGCTGGGCCACTCTCCCTTAAACCCACACAGACCAGCATGGTGAAGTATGGTCTCACAACCCTATATTACTGACACAGCATGGCGAGGCCCTTCATGTAGTTGGGGATTAACAATGAGCTGTAAATTACTTTATTAGTAGTAGTAGTCATTTTTCGTGGGTTATTACATTGCAGCATCATGAGAAATAGCATCAACTCGGGGGTTCTTCATCCAGCAGTGGATTGATCATAGCTGATGATGATGATGATGAATGCCCAAATGAATAGCACATGATTTGTACTAGAGGGTATACAGTATATGTAATTGTTTTATAAAAAAGATTGCCCATGCCAAACAATAACACCATTAACTGCCTTAAATTCCCTCTAACTGTGCCGTGCAATGGTTTGTTGATTTGGGTGAAACCAACATGAATGGCTTTAAAAGCAATGAGATTTTTCTTCTATCCTTCAAGAGGGAAATAAACTTCCGATTACAGCGATAACCCGGGCTTCTCTTTCATTAACCTTAAGAATAGCCCTTAGACTCGTCCTGACCCGAGTTTAGACCTTAAGATATTGGGGTTGTTGCAAAGTCAATTGACCATTCTTTGCTCCCTGCTGCTTTTCACCCCAATCATATAACACTGACATTTTATATATATAAATATATATGATATCGTGGCTGCGTGGATTTTTCTCCAGGTCCTCCGGTTTCTCCCCTCCACGTTTAAAAACAACTTCACGCGTTTAGAGTATTTGGCTGCTTTAAATTTCAACGTGATAAGCCACTTCATTGAGCTATCATTTGTGGCCAGGTCGCTTCAAAAAAAAATAGCTATACAGCTCAGTGGCCCTTACCTGGTGAAACATAAACATAGTTTAGATAATTGTTTAGTTCCATAGTTTAAAGAATAAAACGCTGATGGTGACAAATGTGTGTATTTTTATTCATGTCCCTCTAGAATGAAGAGCAAAGAATCGCAAAAGAGGTTCTCCTGAAACAGCTCTACTCCGAGAAGAATGAACTGTCCTTCAGAAATCTTTCAGACATCGGCTCCCTTCTGAACATAACGTACTACCACCTCGCTGGTTATCCTTCAAATAAGAAAAGTAAGACGGTTAATGTTACAGCGTGGTTGACGCCGCTTGAGATTTATCTGAGTTTAAAAACAATGTCAGCGGTTCTTACTGGGCCCACGTAAACACACCGTATGTCTTTTTTTATATTGTATATAAATATGTTGTATTTGTTTACCTTGAGTGAATTTTACGATCACCGCACACTAAGAAATGAATGAGGCAGTTTGACAGTTTAAAACCTGAGTGTGGTAATATGAATTACCATGCGTCGAATGTCTACTTTGCTGCTCACGTTTGATTTTGTGCTCGTGCTGGACTTTGCGAGCGGGCCGGTGGTAAATTCTCCTGCACCAAGGCATCTCAATGTATTACTCAGCTCAAACGATGCGAACAATCATTGATTGATTCTCAAAATATAGGTGTGGCTTTTTTTGCGCAATGACCGTTTTTCATTGCAGTGAAGAAGGCCATTGCCTGAAGAAAGGCCCCGCAACGTCACCTAATTATATAAACGTTCCTCTCTCGAGCAGTGTCATTGACGAATATGTCAAGATTTATTTACGCTTTTGTGCCACTGCCAAGGATGTATGACAATCATTTTTTCGTTCGATTCGATGTCGCAGAGTACCTGACGATCGGCATCTCGTCGGTGAAGAGGGCGAGGGGCAACTACCTGCTGCAGACGCTCAAGTCGATCTTCGAGCAGTCGAGCGACGAGGAGCTCGCGGACATGGTGATCGTCGTGCACCTCGCCGACTTCGACGCGGAGTGGTGCGAGGGCACGGCGCGCGCCGTCGCCCGCAAGTTCTCGCAGCACGTCATGCGCGGCCGCCTGGTGGTCATCCACGCCCCGCGGCACACCTACCCGCCGCTGCAGGGCCTCAAGAGGAACTTCGACGACCCCGACGACAGGGTGACCTTCCGCTCCAAGCAGAACGTCGACTACGCCTTCCTCACCAACTTCTGCGCCAACCTGTCGGAGAACTACCTGATGCTGGAGGACGACGTGGCGTGCTCGCGCAACTTCCTCACCTACGTGCGCAAGTTCGTGTCCTCGCTCGAGGGCCAGCCCTGGGCCACGCTCGAGTTCTCCAAGCTGGGCTACATCGGCAAGCTGTACCGCTCGTGCGACCTGCCCCGCCTCGCCCGCTTCCTGCTCATGTTCTACCAGGAGATGCCGTGCGACTGGCTCCTCAACCACTTCCGCACGCTGCTGGCGCAGGGCGACGCCATCCGCTTCAAGCCGTCGCTGTTCCAGCACATGGGGTACTACTCGTCCTTCCGGGGCACGGCCAACAAGCTCAAGGACGACGACTTCGAGGACGAGCCGTCCGACGTGCCCGACAACCCGCCCGCCCTCCTCAGGACCAACATCGAGGTGTTCGAGGCCTACCACCCGTACAAGGCCTACGGCCTGGGCGGCGAGTACTTCTGGGGGAAGGCGCCGAGCGTCGGCAAGTTCTTCCTGCTCGTCTTCAAGAAGGCGGCGAAGATCGAGATGATCAAGGTGCGCACGGGAACGGAGGACAGGAAAGGGGACGTGCTGCGTCACGCCGCGCTGGCCGTCGGGGACGGCCTGAAGCCCACGTCCACGGGGAGAGACTGCAGCAACTACGTGCCGCTCGGGGAGTTCGCCGACGGGCAGTTCGACTCCATAGACGTGTTGAAAATGGCCCCTTTCGAAATCACATGCCTGCGCATCAATGTGCTTAGCGAGCAGTCGGATTGGGTCATCATAAGAAACATAGGCGTGTGGACAGCGCAGACTCCGTAGGCGCCCCGAAGCAACCAAATGCAAAGCACAACTTGCAAAGATGTTCTCCTCTCAAGCCAAATTTGTAAAAAAGTGAAAATTTTACTCGGGTTCAGAAGCATAGAATAAACTGTCAGCAGGCAGCGTCTGCGGGCATACCGGCAGCCGCTTCATTTAATGGCAGCTTTCGTCCAACTATTTTTCTGCAGCAGGAAGCCTGCCCTTTGTATTTGTTATCTGTTGTGCTTCTGGATGTACACACCACTTTTGCTGTGGAATGGAAATTTAGGCAGGATGTTACGCCTTGAAGCCGTTAGCCGTTTAGCTGTTTTAGCTCGCAGGGAGACGTAAGTTCTCCATCGACGTGAAATGACTGCAGTCGATTTGCCTCCCTCGTAAAAATCACTTTTTACCTTTTATACGTGCATTGGTACTAGTCTTTATACGCTACCAGCCGCGTGACGTTTTCACTAAATAAATACAAATCACCGTGTATAGATGCTTGTGTTTGCCGATGTAAATTATTTGATGAATAATGAGCTTGTATGCTGTGTGTCACGGAGCACTGTTACGTTACTTGAGGTGGGGGCCGTGTTTCCTCTCGGTGTCCCTGCGGAATTGTGACTCACTCCGAGTGAAACATTTATAAATAACAAGCACATTTTTTGTTGTTGAAACGATGCCCACTCTCTGCAGCACACAGTTGCGATGGGAAAATTAATCGGGCTGGATTTTCCAACGGGCCAATGTTGTATTTGTCCAGCAAAGTGTACACGTATTGTCTAGAAAACTCTCGCTAGAAATTTAATCCCCAGTGTACAAAACAGTTGACATAATCTCAGTGGAAAAATCCAGACTGACTCATTTTTTGTCCTGTTCGTGCGGGCAAACATTGTGGGTTTTAATTGAATCTTAGACCTGGTTTCCCTTAGCCTGCATTTGTTCTGAAGCAGAAACTCCAACCCGTAATATTTGCAGAAGTGCACGAGCTAGTTTTTAATTTGCAACTTGAAGATACAGGTTTCTTTCTTAATTGATTGCAATTATTTATTATTGTGCTGTGACTAAAGTGATGTGACTAATGAGAACATTGTGGTTAGACCTGCGTAAACTCACTCTCGACGCATGTTTTATTCCCTACTCGGTATCATTTTCCAGATAACGTCTACGCGGGAACATCCTGGCGTCGTTATTTTTGCAAACGAAATTGCCTCCGTGGACCCCCTGTGTACCGCGGAGTGACTTTCACTGCTGCGGAAATATTCACACTTCCATCCCTCTTCATTGACACGTGGATAACGCTGCTTTAATAAAGAGAATAGGAAACACTGATTTGCCCGTCTCAATGGAAGCGTTTTCTCCCCCCCCTCCTCCCCCCGTTTGCTGGCATCCCAAACACACCGAATTTTCAGATCGCGTATTGATCAGCCTTCAAGGTGTGTGGATTTGTAACATCTGCTTTGTAGTGGTACAACCAATCACACTGGCCAGAGTGAATGTGAATGAAGAGTGTGCTTAAATTTATATTGCCGCCGTTACAAAGGTTTATCTATCCAAACTAAACCCTTGACCCATCCCATGAAAATTGCAAACGTTTAATTGTTTAACTGCTTGTTGATTCCCCCACGGCGGACCGTGATGTCCGATTAGAAAAAAAAGGGGGGCTTTTAATTTTGTTCATATTTTTTGAGGCAGCAGTTATCTGCACAAACAATGCACGGCCGTATTCTTAGGTTTTTTTCGGTAAAGTCACGTAGGTAAAAACATTAAAAAGTAAAATAAAATAAAAAATCACGTGATAGTTTCCTTAGTGTAGTGGTTATCACGTGATTTTTATTTTATTTTACTTTTTAATGTTTTTACCTACGTGACTTTACCGAAAAAACCTAAGAATATGAATCCTTGCAGTCACGAAAGCTTCAAATCTAGAATTAATGCACGGCCGTTGTCGCCCTGGCCACCATGAGGCTTAATTTGAATACACATAATGTAAATGATAAGCAGGGCTGTGTGTGCGGTAGATTTGGGGATTTGAAAAAAAGATGAAAGATGCCACACGTTACTATATAAAGAAACACGGGGGCCTTTTGGCAGCTCGCCCATATGCATGTGAGCCATTGAGTTGCCAAACGCATGTCATTCCGTTTAAATCTGATTACGCTAAATCCTAGCTTCATGGCTGTTATCTAAAAGGAGACGTACCCTATTACAATTGGCTTCAAACATGCAGCAGCATTCATGTGTGTGCAGCTTACTGTACTCATTTAGCTACAAACTCTCATCGCACCTTAGTAAAAGACTCGTTTATATAAATTTGGATATGGGTGCAGCCTTGCACTATCATGTCACTGCTGAGAAAGGGTAGTATGCCTCCTCTTCCACGTTGGACAGTATTTATTTTTTTATTGTTTATTACAAATAATTTTCCAGGACAATTGCTTGTGTTGCGATCGAAACGTCGTGATATTTTTTTTATTGTTTTGGCTTTACCGAAAGACCCATAGAATATGTATTCCTGCAGTCACGAAAGCTTCAAGTCAAGATTTTTCCAGGATAATCCCTTGAGATGGAACATCTCATTTAAAATATTGAGAGCAGTGGCTCTTAACCTGGGGTGCACGCACCTCCTGGGAGTGCGAGATGCCCTTTCTGGGGGTGCCGAGACACGGCCAGATTTTGTTTAGAAGGTCAACAATTGAAAACACAAATTAAGCATGGGCACCTAAGTACGAATACTTTGTTTCATCAAACCTATGTAGTTTATTAACATTATACATGTGGATTTAATGTCACGTGTTTTACGATTGAGAACCAATGGGGTGCAAGGCTGCAGTAAAGGTTAAGAGACACTGTTTTCGAAGTTGTCAAGTGACACGTTTTTTAAAAGTTGGGATTACCCACACTTTACCCCACCACATCGGACATGCTGATTGACTGTGGTGTGCCCGTTTATATTGCTGGGTGGACAGAGGTGGTGGGGGAGGTGGGGGTTTAATATTTTGCCCTTTATTTAAACTGCCACTCAGGGAAATGGAATCGAACCAGCGACCTTTGTCTTGAAAGTGCGGTGTGCTAGCCATTACATCATGGCAGCGTCCCACCGCAACTGGGACCGAGAGAAGGAAAATCGTTTAAGTATTTTCAATGACATTTAATCACATTTTACATTAAAAAATACACTTTGTAGAATGTTCTGCTGGCTGGCGATGATGGTGACAATTTTAGTAATTTCACTGACAGAGGACTTCTGAGATGTAATTAAAATGGTCATGGAAGTTGCTCGCATACAATATTTATTTCTGTAAATGTTGGTTGAAAAAAAACGGAGTTTAACAAAGGAAAATGCGTCAACATGAGTTAATTTAAATCCATAGACATTTACAACTCCAAAATATATATATATGAAGCTGAGCATGTGGTGAGTGTGTAAGTAAGCCTATAAGTAGCCTTGGGCATTATGGAATAATTGTAATGACTTTATTACTTTCTTTAAAATTATAATCTCGTTCCGTCATTAAAGAGGAGTAAATATTTTAATGTCTTTGACTTGGCATTGGAACAGTGAGATAATATGAGAATTAAGTAACTAACCTTGTTTTTTTTGTATGTTTTACAACAAAACAGCTGGCGAAATATGTTTTTCATTTAATTTTTATTTGTGCTTATTATCATTAATATTGCTCTCAATATCTCAGAACTGTATGTTTGTTAACGGGATTAATTTATTTTCGTGTCTCAGTAAATTTTATGCATCAACAAGTTTTGCTTATATTTTAAAAGCAACTCTGATAAGATGACGAGGCATTCGTGAACAATTTGATGTAGTTGAATGTGTATGTGCATCGTTTAAATATCAATAAATATTTGAAGGACAGTGGCAATAAACCAAATGCCATTTTGTGCAAATTATGCTGCTCATGCAAAATGCACTTAACTAACAGAGGGTGCAATAATTGCTTCAAAAGTATTGGTTATTGGTGACAGATTAAATTAAATGTGCTAAATATTGCCAATATAAATTGAGTTCCACAAACTTGTCTCCATAACCTTGTGTGCACTTAAGCTACCTTTAGTAACAGATAGTCACGTATTTTGGCAAAATAATGTGTCTTTGCACATCACAACTTTAAAAAGATCGCAAGTGTCGTGATAAGTGTGGAAGATTGGCGAAGTGATAACACGTGTGCCTCACAGAAATACGTTTCCTGGGTTGGATTCCAGACTCGGGCGCCTTTATGCGTGGAGTTTCAATGTTCTCCCACTGTTCTGCATGAGTTTACTTCGGGTTCTCTCGTTTCCACCCAGAGCTAAATAAACCAAACACACGCCGTAACTGGCATGGGCCACATATCCCAATATTGAAAATTTGACCTCCAAATTGCTCGTTTGGAATTACACAGCAGTAAAATCGCCCCCATACTCAGAAAACTTGGCAGGGCCCTCCTGAAAATAATCGTGAAACTTCAGTGAGGCTTTCCCGTTTAAACAAGAATAATGATAATAATATAAGTTATGCTACATAGTTATTTTTTCAAAATTTCTTGCTGTGGATTTCACACCTGATGATTGCTTGTGTTGCAGTCGAAACGTCGTGAGAATTTTTATTGTTTTATATGTATATTATTTTATTATTTCCCTTCTACGTGACTTTACCGAAAGAACCAAGAAGATGAATCCCTGCAGTCGCGAAAGCTTTATATCAAAATTTTATGCTACATAGGTTAATCGCAAAAAAACCTGAAACACTACTCATGGCTAAGCTTGTGCTTTGAGCACGTTAATGTTTAATAAAATCCATGGCTGAGGTGAGGAAACCTCCTCCTGCTCACCCCCCAAAAAAATATTAGGGAAGTCACGGAATAAGTTGTGGTAATGTGTTATAGTGCCAGCATGGAGTCTTTTTTATGGAAATAAAAGCAAGTGCCTTGAATGGAATGTGTTTTTCTTACAACCATTGTCAAGATTTAGCGGACTAAATTCGCAATTTCCATCACCACCGTGACCTCCGTGCCAATATCTCAGCCTTAGTTGAGGCCCAGTGGCAAGTTGTCGGGTCACTGCTGGCTGATCTGAGTTCTGAACGGTGTAATCCATTGAACTAGCTCAAGCACCCATCGGAATGTGTCATGAGCTGCACCAGTTTCAAGAGCCAGGCAAGCAACAAAGTGTCCTGCTACAAAATTGCTTTGGTCTGCTACTTTCTTTGACAGGGGTTTGGAACACTTAATACTGGTAGGAACCACCTGGTTTCACCAGCCCACAGGGAATTATTGTGTCTCTCCGTCCGTCCGTCGTGCATCCAAAAATGGGAGGGGTGGGGCTGGGTGGAGAGGGGAGGGTGGGGAGGGCCTGGGTGGGGAGGGCAGGGTGGGGAGGGGCTTGGTGGGGAGGGTGGGGAGGGGCTGGGTGGGGGTGGGAGGGTGGGGCTGGGTGGAGAGGGGCTGGTCACCCCGTGGTGCCCTTATAAAACTCAACGTTTAACCTACTCACGCCGGCTTGTGCCACGCCATCACAGTCGGGCATATTTGCGGAATACGCCACGCCGCTGTTGACCCTGGCCATTGACCGAGCAACCCAACGTTCCTACCAGCTCCCTCCGCAGGAATGTGTTCATTAAAAGGTTGAATCACACGAAGGGACAAAAAACACACGTGCACACCGCAACAGAAAGAGTGCACACATCCCCTGTCTGTGAACCACCTTCCTGACAATGCTCTCTCAATCTCCCACCAATGTGTGACGTGACCTTGTTTACTGGGGGACGACGTAGCATAAAGCAAACTTCAAGCCGATCGTACCATGAGTCATGGTGTCTATCGCGTCTTCTGCGCGAGCTCTCACACCCCGTGTGCATGAGCAAAAGACCAGCGACAACCAACGCTTACGTTTTAGAAATTAAATTCAAATAACCTTGCAGATTAATTGAAGAATGTAACGCAGCAGATCAGTTGGTTTGTGAGCTGTCATCTCTGGCCTCGCTCTGTGCTTTGAATAAGGGCCACTTTCCTTGAGCGTAGCCAATGCTATACTTTTTTTTATTTTTAAGGCCACAGCGTTGTTGACGAATGTTTTGAGTGTATTGCTTGTGCACCACTTCCAACGCAGCAGCAGCATCACCAAATAATAATGTGTGGAGCGTCCGTTACCCCCTCAACGTCTATCCAACACACCATATACCCTGGGGGCCCTTAAAACGAGATAATTATTATCTCACAACGCTGTACAAGACGACATCGATAACACAAAATAAGAAGGAAAAAACACTGCCCTTCGCAAGACACGTAGCATGTAAAATAAACCAGGGATATTTAGAAAAAAATACCCAGGTCTATTTCGCCTTTGGCATTATTGATAGTCATCTTG